GGGATAATCGCCATGCCCTCCTACTAGAAGATTTCTACGTATTTTGAACATCTGCGTTCAAAGTCCCACACTTAGCAGACTGCTGAAGGGCCATGCCGAGTTTACAGGATGGCACAGAAGAACTTCTTCTCCCTGAACGGGTTCTCCGACGCCGGCACCGGCGATAGCAGAGGGTCCTCTTTGGCATGGGCTTCGCAGTAGGACATTAGGTCTGCCGCTGCTTTTGACACCTGGAATCAAACAGACACACACACGTACAATGCGTCAGTATACGAAGATAAAGTTAAAGGGGGTTCACGATACATCTCAGCCGAGGAGGACGCCATTAATGTTGACATCTGATGAGAAGATGCCCGCCTCCTTCTGCACGGTGATATGGTTGGCAGGTGTAGTTTGTCCTATTAGAGAAGTGGGTCGTCACTTTCTTTCCCAGAGTTAGATAAGAGGATTGATAGCACTCTCATGTCAGTACGGTAGATATGTAGCTGGAGCCAGTAGCCGGTTAGCTTAGCTTAGCATAAAAAATACAACAGAACCACATTGCCCCCGTAAAACCGCTAATAGTTGGTTTCACAAACTGCTTTTTTACGGGTTATCAGCGCTGGTAGACAGATTTATTTCTCATCAGGCAGAGTCAAGCTCGCTGTTTTCAATCTGCACACTAAGCTAAGCTAAGCTAACGGCCATGTTGGCTCCAGCTACATATGTAACGGACAAACATGAGAAGTTATATCAATCTTCTCATCTAACTCTCTGCAAGAAAGTGCATATTAAATATACTTTAGACATAATGTACATTTCACTAGGTAAATTAACAGTAATTGAATGTTCACAGTTATTGACTACATGTAGTATCTCAGTAAAGTTTTAAGTATATGCAAGTTGCAACCGGGCTAAACAGAAGCCAATGTCTGCCTGGACGATTGGACTAAAGACGACTAGAAAATGAATTTGTTATTGATGCCGTGTGTGCTCACCTTTATCCTGTCGATGTTGGCCTCCATCTTCAGCTGCTCCACCAGCTTCCTGGCTTGTGCGATGCTGGCCGTGTTATTGCTCGCCATGGCCGCTGTCCGTCAGGTCTTGTGTGTGCTCTGCCTACGAAGAGGAGAAAGAGATTCAGAAATCCAGAACATTGTAGTTCGTCCACTGATGAAGACAGCGCTAAATTATAGCAAGCATGCAAAGAGGAGTGCAAGTAACAGATAACCCTGTTGATTATCACATGCCTGTGAACACACACACACACACACAGAAGCATATTATTTATGGTGTCAGTTGCTAGGCAGCTCATGACAGGGAGGGAGGGGGGCAGTTCTTTGTCCAGCACCATATTAAAAATAGATAAACAGACTAATACATTACTGGTTTCAACAGTAGCACTGATAATGCTGGTTTTCTTAAGGTGCAAGAATACATTTTTTTATATATTATACATGTTTTTACATCACAGTTAGATCTCTTCTTATTATCACTACTTCATTGGTCTTATTGTTCATTTAAGTTATTTTTGGAGCACTTGCACTTCCTGGTTAGATGCTAAACTGAAATTTGTGTACTTCCTGTGTGCAATGACAAAGTTAAATTGAATCGCCATATGAGAGCTGTGCAGAGCAGCGGCCATGAGCTAGCTAGCCCATTGGGGCACACGGGAGTCACGTGCACTAAAAGCATGCACATCAGGCCAAAGCAAGGAGAAGCTTGAACAACAACAGAGGGAGAGTGACTTCATTCTCTGCTCAGGTAGACGTTACGCCACCATATCTTTACAGAGCAAGTAGTTGTTTGCTGCTATATTAAATAAATACAGCTCATTTTAAGCCTTCTCATACTTTTCCACACCCTCCTCGGCATCATGTGAAGGACGATAAATCAACAGATTGCATCTGAGGCAGCCGGTGTTACAAAGTCTCAGCAGTGCCGTATTTGCATTTCTGTTACTGTAAAACTGTCTGTTCTACAGTTAATTTGCATATTTAGATTATCAACAATTATAATCAAATATACCATATACATATATTTTTTAGAATTAGCCGTTGTGCAGAATTAGTACTTTTACTTTTGATGGTTTAGGCATATTTCAATGCTAATACCTGTTATTAACTGGTTTCATCCTCATCAAACAGTTCTTTGTGATCTGTATGCGTCTGCATTTCTTCACCGCTCCGTTCAGGCTTGTCACCTGTCTGTATCGGTACACAGCTTCAGCTCCGTGTCCTCAGAGGCTCCTGTGTCTTTTATAACCTCTTTGATTAAATGGATCAAGCTGCGGGCGTCCTCCTTAGTGTGTGATCAATCTCTCCCCCCGTCATCCGTCTGTACGCGCTGTGGTGTGACTCAGTGTGGGGTTAGGACTGATCTCAGCGAGGTGCTGGAGCTCAGCATGAATATTGATGGTCTACGGTGGCACACCTGCTCATCAGGCGAACCGCTGCGCTCACAGCGACCTGAACCCCGATGACCCGATCATCAATTAAAACCAGCACTGGGTCACTGGTTACAGTTGTTTCACATGATCATTTAATTCATTAGTGTTCGCTGTAAACAAATGCACCAGGAGATTCTGAAGTGATAATACATCGTTTTTATAATTGTGTACTTCATAAAATATCAGTAAATTACATAAAGATAGCAAGATCACTTTCTCTCAGAGGTGGAGGGGATATCTTCACGCCACAGTGGGAACCGATGATCGTTTTAAAATACAAGTTTAAGTGAAAATCTACAGTATTAACTTAATGCGCACATTTTTAGGACTGGTTTCCTCCAAACTGGTCCGGAAGATCTCGACAATCTGAGGAGGATTTTTGAGCACAACCTGCAGCACACCGCACAGTATAAGCAGTGTAACATAAATATTATGTTTCACAGTCACTGCAGCTGAGAGATCCTGGATGTTCTCACTCTGAGGACTGCTTCACCTTTTAGGGTGTTTGAATTTAAACTCAGGTGGGAGTTAAAAAACAAAACCTGATGTGTTATTATTGGTGTCAGAAATGAAAGGATAATCAGTTTCATGTAGTTAAGTGGCAGGCTCAAACGTTACATAAGAAATAATTATTATGTACTTTCTTTCTTTCCTGGACATTTTACGAAAAAATATTTAATATGCTAACGTCGACATGCTAACATGCTGGCAATGACGATGGTGACATGCTGATGTTTTAGCAGGTATAATGTTCACCATCTTAGTCTTAGCATGTTAGCATGCTAACAAACAGATATTGCAATTCCCAGAGGTGCTAGCATGGCTAAAAAGTCATGGATTTCCAGAAATGTGTAGCATCTAAACGACACCTCCATTCATTTTGTGATAGGTTCACTTATATGTTCACTTGGCTGTGCAAAATATGTGAAAAAAGCAGAGCACAAAAAACGTTATACGCTATTTAGCAGAGATGATACTGTGTCGACAAAGTCATTGTCCTGCTTATTGTCATTGGAGCGCTCGAAAATGCCACACTGACATTTCCATATCTGGAGGGGGGGGAGGGGTGATGGCGGTATGTAGAGGACGTCCACGTGTATGCGAGTCCAGGAAGAATAGCTGCTTCTTTACAGGCAACAATAAAGAGAGTCGATAGTTTCCTTTTTTTAGTACTTCTACTCTTCTGCATTTCATGGAGCCTTTCTTCCCACCTGTCAGCCGCCCAAAACACCACCCTGAGATGTTGCACATGGTGTTCACGTGCTGATAGCGGTGACATCACAACAGGCGCTGATAAATAATACATTCAGATGGACGCAGGCCTTCACTGTGCCGGCTGTCGACAGCTTTCTGGGAAAGTTGTAACACCACTCACGCTCCAGTGCCTCCTCCTCCTCTACTCTTCTTCACTTACCTTGTCTGCTGACTCCTCCGCACTCTGCCCTGGTGTCTGTCTGCTGTTCAGTCAGCACGGTGTGTCCGCCCAACTCTCTGCAAACACACAATAAAGAGAGGTTGAAGAGAAGAATGAGGACCAGAGGCTGAAGCGCTGCTCGCTTTTATTCCCGCATTCCTGATAAACTACGCAGAGTCGCGTGTCCTCTGATCACTGCGTGTCAGAATGTCACAGCTCGCGCTCACAAGCTCTCACTGAGAAGAAACACCACAGCGGACTGATGAAGGAGATGCACGTGAAACATAATTGAGGGGACAAATAAGGAATCGTTTAACATGTTGGTAGAGAGAGTTAGACGATTGATTCACTTAATATGAAGCTACAGGCAGCAGCCGGTTAGCTTAGCTTAGCATATAGTCAGGAAGCAGAAGGGGAAATGCTTGCTTGGCCTCTGTCTAAAGCTAATAAAATCTACCTACCAGCTCCTCTAAGGCTCACTAATTAACATGTCTTAAATCTGCAAAAACCAAGGGGAGGATATCTGTGGGACTATTTCAAGATCAGTTACTGTCAATGTTTTGAACCAAAAACTTTATCTCAGTTCTCCTCTTAAAGGAATAGTGTCACATGTGCAGCTTAATTCACTTTCTTGAAAATATCTCATATCTGTCCGTTAGATATGAAGCTACAGCCAGGAGATGGTTAGCTTAGCTAATAATGGTCCAATAGATTCATTTGTCTCTGACTCTGCAGCTCAGTTTCGTCCGCTTCTGATAAATGGGCCAATTACACTGCATGAGCAGATCTGCAGAGGAAGGGAATTCCACCCATCGTAAATCATGGCAGCAAGCAACGTTAAAGCAACGTTACAGTAAGGCATCCAATAACAAAGAAAACCTGCCAACAGCTTCCAAAACCCCCGAGACAGAGTATTTTAGCAACGTTGAAACCGCTTTGAGTTTTAAAAACAAACCAAAGCTGAGCAGGAGATCTTACTGTACTGTACTTTCACCTCTCCTGATTCGCTGGAGCCATTCATCTACACTGTTACTCGGTGTTATGCAAGCTGTATAATCACTTTATCAGTACAGTGACTCTTTAACTATTAGCTGGAGTGCTTCACAAAACAAAAGCATCTATTTTTAGAAATTAAACATTCTACATTATGCCAAAGAAATGTGTCTGCCTATAATAGGCAATATTTTGATTTAAATCTGGAACTATCTCATAAGAAAATTGTTACCATTTGGAACCTGGCAGTTTTCAATAAATGGTGCTTATAAGACACACTTCGGTCAGCACCATGAGTGTATTGAGGCTTAATACAGAGCATTCGGTCTCAGGTTGAACAAAGTTGACTTTTGCCAGAGGAACTAGAGAAGAATGCCTTCATCAATCATGTTGTCAGTACTTAATATATAATGTTTCATGTGCCAAATGGAAAATAAAAGAAAGCATCTGCTCACATTGTGTCTGTTACTCACATATTCCTGCATGACTTCTTTACCAGAAAGGCACTGGAGGCGTTTCTTGGGTCTTATCGATGGTTAATATGTAAGACTCAGTAAAATACAACTAACCTCCATTATTGACATTACCTTTTAGAGTCACATGACCGGCATCTTGTGACTCTGTCAAGATGAGCGTTATTTGCTCAGAGCATCCTGCTTGTCACACTCATCAGAGTCACATTTACATCTGGGAGTTTCCCTGGAAAACTAAGCACTCATCAGCTGTTTGTGTCTTGCTGTTCATGAAAGTAAAGGTTAAAAGTTTTATAATATTGGAGGGATTCCACAGTGTGTGTGTGTGTGCTGCAGTTTGTGCTGGTTTCTGATCATTTCCGTGTGATATACAAATCTATTAATACACTGTTGAAAGTTTACATAACTCAAGACTTTCACTGTAAAAAAGTAATAGAATCTAATGGCCGTCTGTAAAAGTACATCAGAAAATCGAAAACTGTGAAGATTTGTATTTAAAGCGCTGTTATCAATGTTTTTACCTTAACAATGCATCTAATGACTTCATGTATGTGAAAGGTGTCCTCTCAGCTCTACGGGGTATTTTAGGGTCTTTCATCACATTGTTTTGGTTTTACAGCCCGAAACTTTACTGGTCTGGTTCATAAAAACTCTAAGAACTCACTGTTACCTGCTCAGCACCAAACAACAGACAGACAAAGTTAGCGGCCAGCTAGTAGCAGCTAAATATTTTAGTTGGGACCAACCAGAGGTGAAAGAGAGTGAATATTGGACTTATAAATATATAACTAATGGATGTGTAAATAAGCAACTTTTTCTAAAATATCAACTTAAAAGGTTGTAATATGTCAGTGTTGTTTATATGTTGTTTCTGCTGCCAACAAGTGACCAACAATTGACATTGCATTGATCAAGGGAGCATTGTGATATTTAAAATGTTGTGTACTGAGGCAGCACCAAAGTCTCAAAGTGTTGTATTCAATTATGGCACGTAACTGCTGATCCATTTCTCTCCTGTGTTCTAGCCTTCTGCTTCCCGTCCCTCCCTCTGTGGCCGACAGGTGTTCGGTGATGAGACTGAAACACCCCCACCACGCGCCGTCCTGCTGCTAACACCACCGAATCAATCTGACCCCCTCCACCATCCTTCCCCTTGCCATTTGGATCTGTTTTTGAACACCTGTCCTCCGGCTTTTCGGGGGGCCTGTGTTCGTGACGGGGCCCTCCACAGATGTGATTATAGTTGAAGCTCGACTCTGAGTGTCGCTGACTTAAAGGGCGATTAAGCGCCACGGCAAACATCCTGGGGAGTAAAATATCATTCCTGGCCTGTCGAGAGTGATGATCTCTACATACGCTGACTCCCAGCTCGGTTCTCCCCTGTTCCCTTTCTGTAGCGCACACCTTATCGCCTTTTCTTTTTTTTTTTACACCATCCAAAGAGATTAATGAAGGTGGCCAGGCAGTCCTCTGTGAGGCCCAGGGTGTGAAATCAGAGCGTGGTAATTAAAAAATCTGTCCCTTGCTCAGTCATCTGGAGTCTGGAGAACCAGTGATTAGCCTGCGAGGGTCTGCAGGGACGCGAGGAGACAGGATGGGACCCCTGCGCAGAGATAACCCCGGCTAAGTTTGGTAGGCCATTAATCCCCGCCCCCCCTCAGTTACTGTTGCTATACATGTCAAGTTTTCAATGACAACAGTAGCAAATTTACCACTCAAAAGATCTCCGGTCTTGGACATCAAGGACATGACTAAATACCACCAGCTGAACATGTTTTTCTTGTAATTTGGGTGAACTGACCCTTTAAATGAGGCTGATGCACGTGCTGCTCCAGTAACAAACCGGGATGCGACTTTGTTTATCACACAAACCCTCCTCACTCCAATTGTGTAACTGTAAATGCTGACATGATACATTTCTGTGATGACTGAGTCGTTTGTGTGTTTTTACTACAAAACCAAATGGAGCATGCGCATGCAAAAGTACTCGCACGCGTGCAGAAAGTTCCGTCGTCACCGTGTGACTGAGCGACTGTAACCGTCCTCAGCGTGTCATCGGACAATGAGGTGCAGGCTGCGATGTCACCGCGAAGCAGGACGCAGTGAAGGGCACATTCAGCTCAACAAACAGAGTCGTGAACTGACTGGAGAGGTTGCACAGAATGAGTACGAATAAATAGGAATAAAGTTTATTAAAGAGGCCGAGGTGTGACGGTAATATCTTCTTACAGAGCGGCTTTTACAGCGAGGAAAGGAGGCGTAACATGAAACTGACCTCCGAAGTCATTAATGAACACAATCAAGATGGATATTGACAGTTGAACGGAGCCCTGCCCTTGAACAGGAGAAAGGACGGCCCTCCCTCTGCACACACAGATAAAGAGATGGGACACGGAGAGCAGAGCTGTCAGGCGATGGTCGTCTGGGGAGATGACGCCGATGTGACAGCTGAGCGTCCTTCTCCATCACTATTTCTGTGAGAGACCTGGAGCCGACCTCCGGGCTCTAAACAGCCTCCAACACGCATTATACAGGAATATCAAACAGTTTAGACCCAGGACGTTAACTACATTCTTAAATATGATAAGTAACATAGAAACATGTCAAAAGACTAGAAACAAAATAGATCCTTCTGTACATATTTGCACTTTTAATTATACCTTTTATTTTACACAATAATGCTAATTCTATGACAACTCAGAGCTAATATCTGTGTAACAATGACTTTGTTTTATGCCGTACAATATAGTGGAAAGTCACAAACAATGTTCATCATTAATAATATGCTAGGTTGTTTCTTCATCATCTTCGTACTTGTTTAATTCATCCTGTGTCTCTGCCAACTCCCATCAACTACTACTTCCTGAGACTAATCATTTGGCATCTTATCCCTGAAATAAACGTGTACATATATCAGGAGAAAATCTTATCACTGACGTACATTTAGTATTTACAGCATGTTAATCTAATTATGATGCATCGACTACCTTGAGAGTCGTGTTTTTACATCATACGAGCACCTCAGTGGTATGTATCCATACTGCGTGTGAGAGGGAGGCTAACCATGTACTTTAAATACCACTATTATTTAAATTACTGACCACTTAAAAGCTTATTTAGCAATTAAAGTTTAAATTGGACAAAACAAAAGTTAAGTTTTAGACAAATATATTTCTGTTATCAGATTCGGATTATTAGAAAATCTATAAAAGGTGCATGGATAAAACCTGAGCTCAGTTAGCGTTACAAATAGATCTGGTGTTGATGGTTTTCGTAGGTTGGAGAATTATCTTCCTGCATAAAGTAGTTAGCTACCTCGTGACACTCATGACCAAAAACATGGTTATCAAGTGTGGATGTTGTTTTAAGTGAACTTACAGAAATAACAACTTTTAAATCATCTTTTTGTTTTTCATGAGAAGCATCGATTGCTCCTCGATGGGACAGATTTGTAATTTGCTACAGACTGCTCGGGACAAAACAAGACAAAATAACCCCGTCCCCCAACAAGAAATAGGCTTACATGAACATGATGTCAGGCTGAATGAATTCGGTAAAATGAAATGTCAATTCAGCTCAACTATCAAGCGTTTTTTTTTCCAACAGAGCCCGCCCACTTCACACCAGTGAGAAGAGAACAGAAACAAAACACACAGGATCAGCATCTTTCTAATGTTGGCCTCTAACAGTTGGTTTGTGTACGGCCATGTTGCTTATTTCACATTGTGTGTTTCTAATTGTTTTCCTAAAGCAGGCATTTGACATGAAACGCTTACATCTCCATGTATTAGCCGCTATTAAATTGTTCATGAACCATAACTCCCCTCCTCTCTCCGTCCTTGTGCCGCGGCCTCTCGGTCAGACCACCACCACCCGTGAGTATTCGATTAGCCCGGACATCTGTGCCACCCCCTGCATGCCCTGCCCATCCTGCCATCTTAGAGATTGTGGTGTGATGTGTGTGTGTGTGTGTGTGTGTTGGGGGTGAATCTAGGTCCCAGGAGGGGGGGGAGGGGTGAAGGCAGTGGCCCAGGAAATGATGCATCCTCTGGGAGTCAAGGAGGCAGCAGGGAAGAGGCTTATTGCTCCAGGGAGCACAAATGTGGTCTATTATGTTTATCAAATCAAACGATCAAGGCCCGGCTTGTTTCTTCTTTGTCAGATTAAAGCAGCGGCCGAGTGTTTTTTTTTCCTCAAACGTCTAAAGACTTGCATTTAAAACCTTTGAAATGCGTGTTATGTAACAGTAATGTGGTTATTGGGGTAGAAACGTTGCCCTACACTGCTGTCACAGGAACAGCGACATACTTTACGAGCATACATAAAAACTCATGTTTCTGTGTGACCATGGTGGAAAATGAACACCAGTTACCTGCCATATAATGCTGGTGACATTTGGCTGTGCACTTAAGAGGGCTGTTTTATATTCCCCTGGACACTTTGGCAGGAAATTGGCCATCCTCTGGTTCCTCCTTTCCACTCTGGAAATCATATTTAAAAGTGGCCGCCACATTTAAAAGGTTAACTTCCCGCCCCGTGTGTCACAAGTGATAGTTTTACCAAGCGTTAAAGTTCATTAAAGCGCTCTTCTCCGTGCTTCAACTGTGAGGAATCAGCAAGATTTCTGCATTTGCCTTGAGTGAGGAGGCATAAACATACTTTTCCTCTGGAATCAATCAGCATGCCAAGAATAACACGACCAGACTCCTGGGCTGTTAACAATATTACAAACATCCGGGCTTGTTTAGATTCTGCTGAGAGTTTGAGCGTGCTGCTCGGACCGTTTCTCCAACTGCAGGTTTGGCCGAAAGTCATGAAAGGGATTTCATTTAAGCTGTCAGAAACTTCCATTAGTAGCCGATGCTTTCAGGGGTGAGGAGTTGAGAGTTGGACTCGAGCCAGACGTCACAAAAATGCTGACTCGGACTTGAATGCTGGAAGACTTGACTCCCTAGAGATTTAAGAGTCATGGAGGACATAAAACTCGCTCCTGAGTGCTGCGAGAACTACAGACTTTAAAGCAGGAACATTCAAGGTACGTATATGTTTTGCCCTCAAGTCTTTGAGATTTGACAAATTTAGAAAAAGACTTGACTCCTCGATACTTAAATTGGGACTTCAAAGCAAAAACATTTAAAATCTCATGTTTTGACGTCAGGGACCTGCAGGTTGTCTAAAGACTTGGTTGGACAAGACTTGGGACCTCACTCACAATTAAGTAAACTTGACTGGTGTGCGACTTATCTTACTTGAGACTCCCTAAAGGCTTGAGTTGACTTAAGCCTTAAACACAACAACAAAAATAAAAAAGTCTCATGCTTAACCCTCAAGAGCTTCAGACTTGTTTGGACAAGACTCATGGCAAGAGGTTTTAAATAAAGCTCTGGTAGACTTGAGATACTGACTTAAGTCAGACTTAAATCACAAAGAAGAGAACTTGGAATTTTGCAGAGTATTGTAAGACTTGATTCCCCAAAATACTTCACAACAACATTCAAAGTTTTGCCATTGGTGACTTGAAACCTAACTTGAGAGTAAGCTGGACAAGACTTGAGACTTGACTCAAAAGAATTCAAAACAGTTCTGGAGACTTGACTTGAAGTCACGCAAAAAAGAGGACTTGGACCTTCACTTGGACATGGCAGCTGTGAGACTTGACTTCAAGGACTGGAGACTTTAGTTGAGACTTGGTTGGACTTCAGGGTCGACTTGTACTTGCCCCGAAAGACTTGAAAACAACTATGTACAACAGTATGTCACATGAATTTGGTCTAAAGACTAAACTGGAAACTTGTGACTTGATTTGAACTTTCTTTCGTAAGGCTTTCCCCAGAAGATTACAAAAAAACCCAGCTCTGGATGTTTCTATCCAGACAGACCACAGCACGACTGAATAAGCTTGAAACCCAAAATCAACACTGTGAGCAAACAAGTACAAAGGTTGAGGCATTAAGGACGACAACATACTTCCTACTTCTTGTTACTTCAATTATGCTTTTAGGAAGCTTGGCTTAGGGTTGGATGGATTTTTTTAGGGAGAAGGCAGTGACGGGAGTGGAGAGGTCAAAGTGGTCAATAAGGCTGCTCAATCATTGCTCCCTTACTCCCTCTCTGCTTTCTATCTGTTTAACTCAGCGGTTTCCGTCAAGGTTTTTTGATGCGTCTTGTTTATCGTCGCCTCTTCTTGCCTCAACCTCGACGTGTGCGTGAAACCATCTGTGGCCTTGGAGCATCTTGCCCAAGAGATACAGTACGAGACGCCCGGACGTTGAGCTCTTGCGTAATTGTGACTCGCTGTGTGCGTTTGTAACAGGCCTGGATATGCAACACACACGATTGGACGATTTAATTTGAGTTTGTACGTGACAATGCCTTCGTGTGACGAGCTAAGAGTGGGGAAAAAAACAGCAGGTCTGTCTTTGTTTTTTCTGTGAACGCATGCTGCTGTCAGCGACTGTATCTCTCTACAAGCAACATAAAAACACCAAACCCCCCTTCCTCCTCCTCCTCCTCCTCCTCCTCCTCCTCCTCACCCGGCCATCTGCCTGATACAACCACTACATGGAGCTTGTGTGTGGTCAACTGCTCTCTCCTCACGGTATGGAGGGTGAGAGTGGACAATGGATGATAGAACCTCACAGGAGGCTTGAGGGATTCCTCTCCGGTTTGCTGCTGCCTCTGTCTTTTGCATCCCCTTTTTCCACATCTCCCCCTTTTTCATCCCTTCCTCTCTGTCTCTTCTTCATTGTGAAAATACCCCCCCCCTCGAAACAGATGCCCTTAATTCCTCTGGCTCCACATTATAAGATCTGCCCAATCCTTGAGGGAGAAGGAAAAGAAGGGAGTCCATTCTCTTATTCCCCTCACATGAAACAAAGTGCAATATGGGGGGGGGATAAAAGCAGCAGCTCACCTGACAGCACGGAGGTTTTTAGAGATTTTAGAGGGAGGAGGGGATTCCATGATGTAAACCATGAGCTACCCCTCAAGCATTGACAAAACGACAGCGCGGATATGAAGAAAAAAAGCCTCCTCCTCTGGAACACACCCTGTTTGTGATGTGATTAACCCAGATGGCACCAAAACAGGGAGAAAAAATAAATAATAATACGCACCCCACAGAAAATATAAAAATTCTTACCTTTTTTGGGTGTATGCGTGGTCTCTTTCTGTGACGCCAAACACATCGAGTCCTGTGGAGTAGTATCCACGCGTCCTCCCTTCGTTCTGTCACACACAAACACACACACACAGTCAGTCAGTCAGTCAGTCAGCGAGGCGTACATCCACACACACTTCCCTCTCTGTACGCCTCTCTCTCTCTCTCTCTCTCTCTCTCTCTGCTCCAGCTGAGATACTCCCTGCCTCCCTCCTCACTGCTGCTCTGAGTCTCCACCCTTCAGCCAAACGCCCAGGCTGCAAGAAACTACCATCCTCCTCCCCCTCCTCCTCCTCCCTCCATCTCTTTTCTGCTATCGGGACACACTCCCTCCGTCTCCCAAAGGTCCACAGGAAAAGCCTAGACTGTGTCTCTAAACACCTACAGTAAACAAATGCATACCAGGACAGCGGACAGACTGGAAGAGCTGGATTCTGTCCTGATAAATATTCATACTGTTCCCTGCATACGTTTCAGCTGCTTATCTTCCCTCTTCTTAACTCACATTTAAGTTTAGCCTACTGTGTTTGTTTCCAGGCTTTGCACGAGAACAAAAAAAAAATGCATTCAACCCTCGACAACAACAACATGCTGCACTGCACACACGACATGTGCCCCGCCCGAGTTGAGGCTTTTCATCTTTAAACCACTTCTGTATTACAGTGAAACCATCAAAGATTAAAAAAGAAAAACCGGCCCCGCAACTGTGCACCAACACATCTTGATTTTTCTGCATGTACAGGATCCACTCAGCAAAAACCAGAGTGTATACATACAGCTGGTGTGTCTGTGGGAACGGGTGTTACTACCTTGACTAAAGGTGTTTTTGGTCCCATATGTTTGTATGTTTATGTGTCTTGTTTTTCATGAAATATCTCAAAAACTATTGGACGGATTGTCAGGAAATTCGGTATTGACATTCATGTTGTCTTGAGGATGAATTGTAACAACTTTGGTTATACTCTGACTTTTTCATTCAGGTCAAAATTGTAATTTGTCCAATGGTTTGGTTCATGAAGCAAGATACCTGTAAAAATAAAGACATTCCCATCATTCTCAGCTGTATTTTGTGTTGTTTTTCTAATTAGCAATTGTTAGAATAAACTTAAAGGATGAACATGATATAAATTACAACAAGAAGACCAATTTATATAAATAATGAGGATTGCACTCTATTAAAGAGCTTCCTAGTTTGTCTTGTATGTTTCTGTATTCACATATTCGTGTTTGTAAGAGCATACTGTACGTCTGCTTTTCATGCACGTGCGCGCTCCGCCTGAGGGTAAACTCAGCTCCCGTTTACTCATCTTCGCCCTACTGTCTGAGCTGAACGTCACGTTTTCTGTGAATCACATTTTCCTCTGCTTCATTCAGGCAGATGAAACTTACGGCAACGGTGCGCATCCAAGGAGAGCCGGAGAGACACGGGAGGAGGAAGATGGAGAATGAGTGAGTCATGGTTCCTGTGGAGGCGAACACAGGAAGCCTCTGTCACCAGGATACCACAGTGATCTGTGAAAGCCCTTCCTGGGTACCCTAAGCCAGTGCTTTCCACCCTTTTGAGCCTGACGTCCTCCAACAGGCCTACCAGATGAACTCAAGTACACCGTCATCTGTCATGAATGGAATATAAACTGGATTATTAATTATACAGAGGGGGTTATTGTTGCAGATATATATTTACAAACCATTCATCCATCAATGTGAATATTTCAACCATTTATTATTACTATAAGCTTAATATTTGAACTGTTTATCCATTACTTTTAGCGATTTCAACTTCTCTGCTCACTTGCTAACTGTTCACGTGTACGTCCGGGCAGCTGCAGACATAAAATACACCCCTGAGGTACTTGTACCCTTGTTTGGGAGCGACAGTATGTTGTGGCCTCGTTGTGCTTCAGCAGAGACAGCAACACACTCACTGGAGATGAGATAAATCCAGAGATTTGTAATCTGATTACTACGTTTTATTATCGGCTCTGGGGGATCATCTCTGAACCTTGTGGTGTTGGTGCAGCTGTTTTGGTTAATAGGCTGGTTTATTAAGCGCTGTTAATCCACTTCTAAGAGGACGCGGGCAGACGAGGTGACTTGGTGTAACTAAATTGACTTCTAGTGGGATGAATAGTATAAGGGTGGAGCTGAAATACATGTCAGCTTTTCAGGAACTAGGAGAACTGCCAATGTGTTTTTCCTAACCTACAAGAGAGTAATCCTTCATGTTGTAAACGTTAAAACATGACCGTATTTAACACGGTTTTCACACAATGGTGATTTTAGGAGAGGCGGAGGAGGATGAAGGATGTTCGGATGAGTAAGAGCAGCGTTTATTTTAGTGTGTGTATGTGTTTGCGTGCACCAGGGATGGGGTTATTTAGACTGGCTGGGGTGTGTGTGTGTGGGGGGGGGGGGGCTGGATTTCATTTCTGATTTGCGACCATCTGGCTCCTCCAGGCAGCCGCCGCTGGCCCGAGCCGAGCAGAGCCGCCCCGATGCCCCGTGGGATTTACGGAGAGGTCACCACTGCTGCTGGAGACACACTGTCACCTAATACTCTCAAACAATCAGCTCAAATGATCGCCCACACACACACACACACACACACACACACACACACATACATAAAATACATGGGAGTGTCAGGAAACCTGTAGAACGAACGCTGTAAGATGAGGAGAGTCAAAATTTAAAAAAAGATGCTGATGCAACAAATTATCATTAAGCATCAGCGTGTTTTAAATTTAAAAAAAACGACACATTAACGTTATCTGGACACCTAATTCAACAAGGCAAAAGAAAGGAGAGGAGAGTGGAAGAAAAGGGGGGGAGGTGACGGAGAAAGAGAATGGATTTCCCCCCCTCTGTGTTGCCATGGCGACAGCAGTGGATGGTGGATGACTGATTTCCTGTACAGCTGTGGAGCTCGGAGGGGGGGGGGAGACACACGTTATCTGTGTCGGAGGAAGGAGGTGGAGCTCACTGAGGAAGGCGTCCATGTTTTCTCTTAAACTGTACATCATCAGTCTCTCTCTCATTCCTGTTTTCTGCCTCCATGTTTATTTAATGTGTTTTTTTGCCTCTTTGTTTATTTGATCTGGAATTTTACTTTTTTTGTCCGAAGCCCACACAATCTGCAGCCAGAGGCAGTGGTGGAAAGTAACTAAGTACATTTACTCAAGTAATGTACGGTATAATTTTGGAGGTACTACGGAGGAGTATTTTCATTTTACGCTACTTTATAGGCCTACTTCAATTCGACTACAATTCAGAGAAAAATGCAGTACTTTTATTCCATCTGACAACTATAAATACATTTCAGATTAAGATTTTAAATGTAAAAAAGTAGTTTATGAAATACGATGCAGTTCTTTACTTTTAAACTCAGCATTATTGTATAAAATACGTTGACAAACTTACAACAATAGGCCATAAATCCAATAATACAATGTATTATCAATGTAATGATATGACAGGAAGGCGTGTTACTGCATAATAAATACTTTTTACTGCATAATAGATACTTTTATTTTACCAGTGGCGAGATGCCAGGGCCTTCAAGGTATAGCCACTGAATTTTACTGATAATACTTTTGTATTGTTTGACTCTTTTGTGGAGTACTTTGAGACGATGGTACTTCTACTTTTACTTAAGTAAGGGATCTGGATTTTGGTTCCACTACTGGCCAGAATGTAAGTGTTAAGTACAGTAAAAATTAAAAATAAAACGTTAACACAAGGTGTATTTACCTGTTGTTTGAGAGAGTAGGTTTTCAGGCTGGCCAGCAAACTGTAACATATACAAATGTTATAATGTTTCTTTATTTCATACCTAGGTTGATTAAATACAGCCATAAATCAATACTGTCAAGGTATTTGTAATTCAGAAACTCTAGCGTTAGCGTTAACTTTTAGCAAGTTATTATAGGTTAGCTAGCTTTAGCTTGCGAGAGGTAAGCTAGCATTAGCTAGCGAAAGATTAGCTAGTGTTAACTTTTAGCAAGTTATTATAGGTTAGCTAGCTTTAGCTTGCGAGAGGTAAGCTAGCATTAGCTAGTGAAAGATTAGCTAGTGTTAACTTTTAGCAAGTTATTATAGGTTAGCTAGCACTAGCTCTTGTTTTAGCTGTAGAATATTAACTACGGCTGTTGTTTGTTTTGGTACCAAAAAAATGGATCTTAATACAAGGTTTGCTTACCAGTTTTCTTCCGAACATAAATGGCTGAAGGGGTTGATTGATTGATTGATTGATTGATTGATTGCAGCCTCATTACTCCTGCCATCATTGATTGCAGTTCAGCTGATTTTTTTCTACTCAACCTTAACGTTACTGATGAAGACATCGGATCTGTGAGCTTACCATGGTGGGTTAACAGAAAATAACCAGTCTAGACTGAAATAATATAAACATAGCACAAAAAGTAAGGAAATTTGTGTTTGGTAGATTAATTCTTTTTTGTAATGCTTCTTGGCAATAAATTTTATACCGTTGGAAAGCCTGTTTATTTCCCTTTTAAATGGTGTCACATTTTGTAAGGAACATGCGTTTGTGGGAAGAGCAGCAGAGCTGAGGATGTGGGTTGCGCCCATGAAAAATTTGCCATATCTTCTCTGCCAATGCCAAACAGCTTATAAATTCTGCCATTGACTCTTGTTTAGTGGATTGGATGATTGAAGTCTGAAGAAACAAGACATATTGGCAATTTAACAATTTATTCATTTAACAAACAAGAGCCTCAGTAGCGTGTAGAAGAACCATACACAGTCACAACATCCTGGCACCTCCTCCTCATGCTGGTCACCAGCCTGGTCACACACTGCTGTGGGATGGCATCCCATTCTTCAAAAAGCATTTGTCGCAAGTCAGCAAACGTGGTTGTGTTGGTCACTCTGGCACGAACAGCACTCCCACGGTGATCCCACAAGTGTTCAATGGGGTTGAGGTCAGGACTGCTGGCAGGCCATTCCATCCTCTCCACTCCCAAAGTCTGGAGGTAGTCTCTGATAAACCGCTCTGTTGGAATTGGCAGAGAAGATATGGCAATTTGTTCATGGGCGCAACCCACATCCTCAGCTCTGCTGCTCTTCCCACAAATGCATGTTCCTTACAAAATGTGGCACCATTTAAAAGGGAAATAAACAGGCTTTCCAACGGTATAAGATTTATTGCCAAGAAGCATTGTTACAACAAAGAAATAATCTACCAAACACAAATTTCCTGACTTTTTGTGCTATGTTTATAATAATATGAATCTCCGTCTGAGAGACACAATAAGCCTGAGGTTGACCCTCTGCTAGAGGAGCTAACGGGGATAAATCAATAGCCAATGCCAGTGTCACCTAGATTTATGAGGTACTTTAACAGATGAGGAGGAACTTTACTTCACTTTAGGGACAAGGCCAGCGAGGAAACATAATGTGTGCTTCATCAGCATTGAGTTGTTCCTTCCATTGTTATGCTGGTATAACCTTTTAACACAAAACAACTACAGTTACTCCATGATTAAATAAAAGCTCAGGCGGTTACAATGTGTGCTTTATTGTCCAAAAACTACATTTACACAGTATCTAAGTTATATGTAATTGTATATGACACATTATCTGTTTTTGACCTAATGAAGTTATTTGTGTGTTTGAGCGGATACATACAATCGTGGACGTGTCTGAACACCAGAGGGCAGCACAAACTAAGGAAACATTTTAGGGATGAGATACAGTACCTTCACTCAGAACCAACATCTTATTTATTAACCACATTTTTTTTATATTTTAATAGTAGTTGTTGTAAATGTTTTGTGCGCAATATACAGATAATTACTGTTATGTTTGTTATTGGTAAGAGAAATGGAAAATCCACATCCTTTAATATTTTTTATAATGCCAAAAGGCACATGAACTGCTATTTAGCACCACTTTGAAAACACCACAAAAACAGCAGAACTTTGGCAAATAAGTGTACCTTTTTATTGGATATTGAGGGCATTAGTACCAAGAAGGCACGGACCAGACTTCATCATAACAACTCGTATTTTTTAACTATAGGGGGACAAAAAAAATATTTTTTTCCTAAAGGGAGATCCTTTCACAGAAAGGATTATGGACACAGACATACAGACTCATACTGAAGTAAGTATGACCATATATTGAAGTCAGAAAAAAAAGTTAGAACAACTTATGAAAACTTTTAAGGACATGGGTTATGACTGTATGGCTATGTACCTTAACACATACTGTTTTAATATAAGAAACATCATTGTCCATCAAAATATGACTTTAGACATTTTCCATTAATGAGTAGAAATAACTACAAGTTTAAATCAGTGAAAGAAAAAAACTGTAAGAAATATAGAAGTTGTCTTTACATTACATAGCAGTATCAACTTTGTGTATTTGTACTGTGTTTTTTAAAACCTTGATCATATGCTATTGCAATGTATTGCCAGGTTTGTAGACATGGTGTTACATGGATAAAACAACAGTGATCTAAAATGATAAAATCAGCTCGGCTACATAGCTGGAGTTTGACTTTACATTTAATCACGTCATTTGTTTTTGCTGACTGACGTCTTGTAAAACAACGCTGTGAACTCAAGATGTCAGCCAACCAAAAACACGTTTACATTTTTAAAATGATGACGTGCTGTCTGCAGAGAACATGTAACACAGTGACCACTGAACATTTAAAGGAAAGGTTTGGAATTTTGGGAAATGCGCCAAATCACTTTTTTGCCAAGTGTTAGACGAGAAGATTGATACTCGTGAATACGCATCCACCACCAGCAGTCTGTTAGCTTAGCATAGCATAAGGACTGGAAACAAGGGGAAACAGCTAGCCAGGCTCTGTCCTGAGGTAACAAAATCCACCAAACAGCACTTCTTATCACGTTATATCTTGCTTGTTTGATCTGTACAAAAAAACACAGCTATCAGTTGGTAATTCGGTGTTTCTCCCTGTTTCCAGTCTTTATGCTAAGCTAAGCTAATCGTCTTCTGGCTGTAGCTTGACGTTAATGAGAGAGGTATTGAGCTTCTCATCCAAGACTTGACACAAATAAATAGTAATTAAAGTATTTCCCAAAATTATGAACTAATCCTTTAATATCACACATCAGCAGAATACAGTCTGTTTTATTATTTCCCAATAACTCAAAGGATCATTTTAACCACTTGAAAATTTCTAATCATCTTGAGAAATAATTAACTGTAATTCTGTGGTCATGATAAAGTTCATGGTGCAATGTTTTCCTCATGATTCAAGAAAAAGAGTGGAAACGTCCTGATCTCAACACAGATAAGTTACAAATATTATGGTTGTATCTTTAAAAAAGCACAAGATTATTGATTTAAATCAGACAAAGCGGTAACTGTGGCACTTTGAATCTGAGCTGCATGATTTAGGAATAAAAACAACAAAAAAAAACAAAAAACAGGTTGGTTGTTTTAACCTGCAACAACCTCGTGTCAGGAAATAAGAGCTCGTAACACATCATCCCGTCAGCTACAACAGGCTTCCATTCTCTTGAATTTTACTGTGAGATTACAAAAGATAAAACCAGTATTTCTTGTTTAGTCCCGCAAACATCACCTGTTCTTAATACTGTCACATGTATTTGCTTGTAATACTGAAAGACATCAACCGCACGCAGATTAATTGTTCAACATACACAAGTCTAGACAGCTCGTACAAAAATACAACATGTGAAGAGATTTCAGGTCAAACGAGAGGATGAAAAATAAAAAAAATGTAACAAATTCCAGTTCAAAAAATGATGCATGAAACGAAAAACAGAAGACAAGAAGAGTGAAAGACCACTGAGCAGAAAGGAAGACGCACATGTATGCATCAAAATGTACGTTTTGTTTTGGCCGGCAGCCATCCGGGCTCCATTTTGAGTTTAGATTACAGGGAAGCTTTTGTGGCTGCAAACTCGACGCAAGTCAGGACATGTCGAAACTCACTCGACCTCATTCCTCCCGGGAAACTCGTCGGAGTTCACAGGACATGAAACAGTTTTGAAATCAAGTCTTTTTGACACTGAAGATGCTGAAGAACCTTCTTGAGGTTAAATAACGATGTCGAGCTTATTAAATTTGGATCTTTAAAAAAAGACTCAGGTGATGAGGGTGTGTGATTGTCAAGGCGACGGTTTGACACCTGCATAGTGTGATGAAGGCACATCGGGGGTGTGTTCACATGATTGAGAGTCCAGTCCGAGCGGGGCGGGGGGGGGGGAGTTGGCACACTGCACTTCCTGCTGAGGTCAAATGAAGTGGCTTAGAAGAAGAAACCAAGGCTGCTTCCTCTCAAAGGATTATGGGTTCTTCTTCCCTCCCAGCAGGACTTTGAATTGTTTTTCATCATGGCTACACACTGAGAAAAAGTTGGACATAGTTCATTTCCATTTCTTGTCTTTGGTTCGTAGCTCAAGAGTGATTTTTGTCCTCTGTGTCCTCCAGAGAAGATCTTTGATATGCTGCTCATGTCTGTGCACGAGTCTCTGTCTGCTGTAAGCCCACGTGCACGCGCACACAGTCTGTTTATGACTTTATAAAGCAGGCAAAACACGACGCGTGGTTCATGAAACCAGTTTGGAGGAGACAGATTTGAATAAAATTGTTGTTTTAAAAGATGACACGATCCCTTTTGTTTCCTTTCCCACAGGGGAGCAGCTCACGTTACTTTGTAAAGATGCAGATTTCTTTGAACCAAGGTTCTTTAAGTTCCCTTTTCAGCCAGAGTCCTCCATGTTTGTTCATTTATTATGTGTTATTCGTGGTAAGTGAAGGGACAGCCAACTTGTTGCCAGTTTACTCATCCTAGAAACCACCTCTTCCAACGCTCCTCTCTCGTCTCGTTCCCTGAGGGCTGAAGCATCTCTACGTCGGGGCAAAAAAAGGTCACCTTGCCTCGTTTCCTTGCCTTCACACCACAAACTCTGGGACCTCTTCGCTGGTCAGATCCAGGGAGAAGTACTTGTTGGTTCTCTTGATGGGAAACGGGTGCTGCTCGCCGAGCATGCCGGCGCGCTGATCGGCGAGGCCCTGATAGCCGCTGCCGCCACCGCCGCCGCCTCCGCCGCCGCCGCCGTCGCTCAGCTCCTGGGCGCAGCCGAACGTGTAGCTGTGGGCGGTGTCCTGGCAGAGCTCCGCCCACTGCAAGCAGTCCTTCTGGTAGAGCCGGACGTCGTCTAGAGACTGGCTGTGTCGGTCGGTCGAGGACTGAGGCTTCCCGCACACAGAAGTCTGCAGGTGGAAAGCAACAAATCAAATGTTATGAAAGAAGCTGTTCCTCCTCTAAAATGTAACAACATGTCATGACTACGGCAGCTACAATGTAACATTAACAGTTTCTTATTCAGTCATGAAACGAGCCAGACTGTCCCACTTGTTGCTTGAGTCTCAATGAATGAATGAACGAAGTGTCGTCGTGGTGACGTTAATCCCATGCTGAACTATGAATCAAAACCTACACGGTATATATCTGTAGCGGGGGGAACTCGTCTCAAGTATAAATCCTTTGCGACTCCGAAAATATTTCTTTTGTTTATGTAAAGCAGAAACAAGTTTTCAATGCTAAATGTAAAAAAAACAACTCAAAACATTTACATCCTGATCTCCTGAGAAGCAGTTGAACATCACTATAAATGTTGGATGTTTTGGTGTATTGTGCAAATACAAGTTAAATCTGAGTTACCTGTGGCAGAGACTCGATGCTCTGTCCTCTCATCTTGACGACCGTCTCAGAGGAGCTGGAAGTGGAGGAGCTGACATCTTTTACTATCAGCCCTGGGGAGAACAGATCATAACATTCAGCCACAGAATGAAACAATTCTTCATCTTCACTCGGCTCAGTGTGCACCTGCTTCATGGTAGCCATTAGAAATAACTCCACAGACAAAGAAATAATTCAGTCTGGGTTTATTATAACCCCTACTGCTTCTTTATGGTTGTCAGCGATGTGTTCTGTCTGTACACGATGGGTTTGACAGTTGTTCACCAAATACTTTTCACTCATAATATTGTAGAACAAGAGTCTTCACTCAAAGTGTAAAATGTAAAAGTAGAGCAGAAACCGTGAGACGCCATCTGTACCTGAGTATCCGTTGGTCTGATCAGGCAACATGGTCAACATGTCCTCAGTGATGTGGATACACAGCTCCTGGTCCAGAACCATCTCGTGAAGCTCCTCGTAGTCTTTGGGGTCGTCCACAAGCATCTCGATCTCTGAAGGAGGATTTTGAACAAACTGCTAAATCCGCTGACACAACTGTCAAGTACATCACTTCATGTGGATTCTTTAGAAAAGCTCAAATTTCATGAAACAGTTGTGGGAAACGTCACTTAAACACTGAAAACAATGAATTAAAAACATAATATTAGCACCATGTGTTTACTTCTACTCATAAGAAATGTTGGTGTCTTTGTCTGTTTGTCAGTTAAAACACCCCTCATGCTGTTTAGTTCTTTTTATATATTTCTCGGGGGGGATAAAACATCAACTCAACATCAACTCCCCGCTCTTACCGTCATCGTCCAGTATGCGCTCCTTGCCGCTGCTCTCGATGCCGGAGGTGTGCGAGCTCCCGTGGCTGGTCGTGGACGAGCTGCAGGTTCGGAGGGGCCTGTGCGGCGCCTGACCCGAGGCCCTGAAGCTGTCCGCCTCAATGCCGGAGGTGTGAGAGCTGCCGTGGCTGGTCGTGGAGTGGCGGGACAGGCGTTTGTGATGAGACATGCTCCCCGCGCTGCTGCCGCTGGCTCGGGAACGTTTGTCCAGCTGGTCCATGTCCAGTTCGAGAGCATCGCTGATGTACGACTCCCTGTACTGCTTCTTCTCTGAAATCAGATCAGATAGAGTTCAAAATATGAATTCCATGTGCGAAAAAATTGAAATGTTATCTTAAATTAGAACCCTTAAAGCAAGAGTTCTACATTTTCTGGTGGATTAGATGAAAGGATTGATATTGCTCTCATGTCTGTTTTGGAAATATGGAAAAAGGAGCTGGTTAGCTTAGCTTAGCATAAAGACTGGAAACAGGGGGAAACGGCTAGCCTGTCTCTGTTCAGAGGAAACAAAATCTGCCTACCAGCACCCCTAAAGCACAATAATTAACACGTCTCTTTTGTTTAATTTGTACAAATAACAAGGAGTAAAAATTACAATTTGACATTGGAGGGTTTTGTGTCAGACTACTTTTTGGCTCCCTGAGCAGCGACCAGCTCTGAGACTCCAAGGAAATATTGACCCCTCCTCTGTTGGGCTTCGGACAAAGTAGCTGCTCAAGGAGTTTTTGCTGAAGTTTTAAACCAAAATGCAAATGTGTGTTTTGACACACAATGATAAGAAATGCAAGAACAACATCAAAATGCCGGAAAATACCTTCGTTTTCCTCTAACCGGCGGACTTGTTTGAGAACGGGCTGCAGGTTCATGTAGAGCCGGTGGCTGTTGCTGAGCAGCTGCAGGAGGTGGCGGGAGCGCACGGGACAACCTGTGTAGTAGATGAGTTTACGAGCCGAGGGCAGACCGTCGGGAAGGATTTCAAACTTCTTCCCCTGCGAGAGTTGGAGGAGAAAAAAATGATGATTACAGGAATTATAGCAGTTAATAATATAAGATTATGAAATCGGAATGCGGATTTCAAATCAGGATTGACTGCCAGACAGGCCCGAAGGCGAACCTCAGGGGGAGGGAGGTCTGTTCTTGAAGAGTATTCTGCAGCCAAACACAATGGAACAATCAGCCCATGTGTCTGTTCTTCATTTCGACTGAAACTGAACATTTTTGAGCAGTTCTGATGATTTTCCAAGGAGAGGACATGTTGGCTGAACGCACGGAAAAACTAAGATGGTGGTTTTGTGCTTTCTCCCGCTCTTCGGCAAAGGCTCGACCCAATAACAGCTGTCTTTAGTGTCAGCGGGGTGCTTTCTATACAGACCTATAAACATTTGAGCGAGGGTTTGGACTTTCAAAGGCAACGGGTGGGTTTAAAGCCGTGGAAAATGTAAAGACCTGCACATTTCTGACCACAAGACTGAGCCTTCGTTTTATTTAACCTAAGAAAAAGAGAAACCTTCTTCATCCAAGTATTTAAAGCCTGTACATAGGGAAGTATATCATAGGTATTCAGCTTTGTACTATCAGGAAATGAGTCATAAAAACCATCTGACATTTGCTCATTGACAGTGGCTTTCCTATAAAATGTAATTTTCTCTGGTGAGAAGTATCCTTGAGGCTGAAAGACTTCCTGTTCAAGTCCCTGGACCTGCAGGAAAAACTCTGGGTGGGAAAATAAAGTTGAGTATTTGTCTTCAACCTCAAACTGCCTCCCTGCAGCTTCTAGTGGCCACCAGTAAAAACCATACTGGGCAGTGACCAAGTGTGAATGAGGCAAGTCTGGTTACTGCTGCAGGAAAACTCTACTGTCCCTGGTGATCTGAACTCTCTGTACCCTCGGCTGGTTTTGATTGGTTTACACTCATTTTATCGACTCTGTGTTTTAGCCTGTTATATGCATGTACATTATGTTGTTATTTTCAGGATAAGTTACACTATTCAGAAATATCATAACCGGCCTTGTGAGTGGTACTTTACATGTTTAAGAGCAGTGTAGGAGCCAGGTGTCTGCCGATAGTCATCTACAAGCAGTATTGGCAAAGCACAGTATCTGCAACCCTCACAGAACTAATTCTCCCGTCATGCAACTGCATCTATCAGGCTCTTAGGGTTTAACTATTTAAAGATAATTAAAAATTCAAACATGACTTTCCTTGCTGGTGGGAACTCTATTTCAGACCAAATACACCCAGCAGCAGACTGGTGTCAAGTGGCAGGTTTTTAAAAGGTGTTAAGACGCAAATTAGAAAAGTTTCTTGTGTCATGCAGTACACATGTTCACTCCATCAATGTTCTCTGCTCAGGACAGCTGGACAACTTTCTCTCCCTTCCAACCAGACCTCCCTAAAAGGCCACACACATTGAGGACTCCCCGCATCACCCACAGGGCCGGTTTTAATCCAACAATCCATCAAAAAGACCAGCATCAACCAGACAGGCCGCTGGCGAGGTCGAGTCTCAGATCCAACGTCACGGGGCACGAGGACGATTTCTTCATTTCAGCTTCCAGTGGGATTACATCACAGGCTAGCATATATGCAACTTTGTTTTCTCTTTTAGCATCAGAGACACTGACACACACATTTTCTATGTATCCCGTCCTTCCCTTAAACCTCGTCCCGGGCCAAATATCCTGAATAGAAAATCCCCCTGAAACCATTGCAACATCTGGTGTTTATTGACCCACACGTCCCTCCGCCCTGTTCCGCGCTCTGGCTCGCTCGGCCCGTAGCTGCAGCCGTGGTGGCAGCGGTGTTGGATGACGTGACTGGCGGGTGGGGTGGAGCAGAAAGCCTGTTATTCAGGAGAAGGGTGGGACAGGGCCACGAGAGGCCCTTCACGTCCACAGTGAAACCTCAGCGGTTCAGTCTCACAACGCTGCAGACGGCAGACGCGGGGAAACCACCGGAAAAACAAGAATGAGGAAAGCAGGATGTCTTTAGCGCGGACTGTGTGGCAGACGCAACAGTTGTTTGCATCAAAATTAGGCCGAAGCCAATCACAAAACCTTCTGGGACGACAAAGCAAGTTTCTCAGGGGGCCTTGCAGTCATGAAACCTGCTTATAAAGTCCCTTCAATTGAATAAAAATAGCCCAAAAACTAGCCAAAAATAGAGTTGCAGGGGCTTGTTTCCGTGCAACAGCAGTGATAAGCAATAACGACCTCTCTGGATTGTGATTAATAGCTGACTGGCGGTGAACGTGAAGCCGCCAGATTGAAACAGATATATAGTAAGCTTCTCTGCCTTTCTGCGATAACAGAAACCCTATGGAATCAAATTAACCGACTGCTGTGCTCAGCTTAACGACAGGCTGACTCAGAGCCCAGCTGAGAAGATTTAACAGGAATTCCTTTAAAAAGGCAGAGGGACACCAGTAATAATTGACAAAATGAATAAATTAAGAGGTATGTATATCATATAAGAGAAAATACTGCTCCTGATGACAGGAAAATATGTATACAGTATACAGTGTCTGCCCATGTGTGTCTGTGTGCAAGGAAAGTCTTCCTAAATCCCTGATTAGTTCCAGAGGACTTAAAACGGCAGTGTGGAGAAAGGAAGCCTTGCGTAAAAATTTCCACGACCCCGAGCAAGAGCTAGGCTTTCAAAAACATCGGCATAAGCCGAGGGATGCTTGGGTTTGTCATCGCTGGAATGAGTTAAAAAAACAAACTATAAAAAAAAGTGGTGACGGTGCATCCGACTCACCACAAACACCAGTTTTCCCACGTTGGTCCAGGGGAAGTCGTACAAGAGTTGCCTCACAGACCCGACATTCTTCAACACAGAAGCACAGACACATGAAGTCAATCATTACAGGTACGCTGATCAGTAAAAAGACACCACTGCTGTAACACACTGCAAAAACACTTTGTAACATTTGTCCAATATTCAGCTCTGAAAGTCTTGTTTTGTAAGTAATCTTCCAGTACAGTAAGATTTTTATACTTGTTTACTTCAAGTATCGACTTGTTTCAGTAATTCTCCCAAATCAAGACCCAAGAGTGCAGAAATATGATTTATTCTCTCTTCAACTATTTACACTGTTGATTAATTACTTTTTCGCTGAAATCGCATACTATAACTATAATATTTTAGAAAATAGTAAAAGATAGCCAAGAGACAATGTTGACATCTTCAAAATGTAGATTTTAGATATTCAGTTTAAGTTCATGTTTAATAACAATGTTTACATTAGAAAACAGAGACTTACTTAATAATCTGATTAAATGGCAGAGTTAAGACTTTTATGATTCAATACAATGGACAAACATTACTTGATAAGATAGCAGTCATCTTATTTGCAGAAATACATAAATCATGAAACAAACAGCAAAACATTCAAGTCTAATCACATTAGACACAACCTGCATTATTATGTAAGAAACGTGGATTACCTGAAATATTTGGATACCACGTAAAGTCAGTCCCAATGTAAGAGATGCCTCTACTTCCTTCTTGTCCTGTTGAAAGAGATAAGATCAAATACACATCAGGCAAAGATCAAGTCACACCCGATGTAGTAGAATAACCTGAAATCTAATGAGCAGTTAATGCATCAAATGCTCTCTTAGCCAAATTCAAAACTAGCAAAGCAACCAAATTAGTGCGCCAGTATTGACATCTGCACGTAGAGATAAATTGTCTTGGACATTAACAATAATGTGATCTGTGTTGGAATAGACAATAACAAGAGATAGCTACAGTACATCTGATCCTGTACTCCACATCTCTCACCTTGTATAGTCTGTAGTAGTGGACAGGGACGTCATCGAGATGGGCACATTCCTTGATGTACTTAAGGTGTGCCTCTGAAGCCGTGAGAGCAAACTGGTCTTTGTGCATGTTGGGGATATGCCTCAGGATGTACTCACGGCCGCGCTTGGCTATCACCTGAGCGGGGAGAGAAAGAGCGGAGAGTCACGCTCGGCTGCTCTGAAGTCGTACAGAACAATTACAGCAGACTGGCAGCAAAGTCTGCCAATGAGGGTAATGAAGCTTCCTGCCGCAGGGCAGACAGATGTCAACCTGGAGAGACTCAACGAGAGCCAGAGGCACTAACCGGAAACGCGCTGGCTAAGCCTTGCATGTGGCTTTTGAGGATTTTGTAAGAAAGCTTTCTAAGCACCTAAATCTGTGGGAGATTTACGGGTAGTCGGGTAGCGCTCATCATCAAACAACATCCTGTCCCCGCCGGTTTGAAGTGGCGATAAGGAGGCTAATTACAGGAAGTGAGGGGCAATCAGACGGGTGTGGCAGTCGTAGCCAGAGAGGTGGAGTCGAGCATCAGTCAGAGCATTTCTCAAGAAATAACTAAAACAACAACAGCGTGTGCTCCTTCCAGGGACAAAAATAAACGTATTGTCCCAGTTCTCACTATTCCACATGCTCGGCTATGGAGCTGTCGTTAAGTGTTTGGTCAGTGTGATTAATGGAAGGTGGCTACAGACCCACATACTGTAGACACCGCGGGCCAGGACACCGAACACATCCCGACACCGTAACTGTATATTTCAACTTCTCAGTCAGTGGTACAGCACTTTATTTTTGGTCTTTTTCAGCTGAGACCTATTTAAGTCACTGATGTCACTGTGCATCACCGGAGTATCAGACAGACTCACCACAGAAGGATTTAACGGTCTAATACAGTAATATGTTTACTTTATGATACTCATACTTAACACAACTTTTAAGCTTCTTATGTATGCCGCACCAGAAGCCAATCAAAGTATCGTACAACAGCCACATAACTGGGGCCCTTTGTCATACCCCTCTCTATATGCAAGCATTTCCTCTCTCTAGAGTGAGGATTTGCTGCGTTTTTCTATTATATATCATAATGATAAAACAAGACATTTGAAGTGTGTTTAAAAATGTTCTGTCATTGGAGTCTTGTGGACTTGAGGAGAGCATATTAATTGTATGTTTTGTATGCTAATAACTTTTAATAAGCATAATAAATCACGACCCAACCATGAAAATAACAATTCAAAGCCAGGAGAGCAAGTGTACATTAGCCACAGCACCCGGACAAAGCTATTTTAAATAAGAGCCAGAGAGAAAATATGTCCATGTGATATTAAAACAAGATGTGATCAGGTGCAGGCGCAGCACAACAGGGAGGATCCAGATGTGGTTTGGTGTGAACAGGAAGGTAAAGGAACGCGCAAGATGACGGTCAGCCATCATAAATCATCTCTTCTCGTCTGATAAGTTTGACACGCGAGGGCTCAGCCCACATACGCTACTCACTGGACACACTCACCCATGGAGGGAAGTAGGCTTCGGGTTCAAAGTACTTCCCAAAGTGCTTGTTACGCTTGAAGTTGCCCAGGTCAGCCTGCAGGGCGAAGGCTGCCAGGAGGAAGTAGGCCTCCTCCCTTTGGATACACTGTGAGAGCAGCACCTGTTTCCTCAAGTGCCAGTAGTAATAGTACCTGGCTGCCCGGTCACTGCAGGGCATAAGAAGAAAATAAAATCAGGTGTTAAACTGCTTGATGCTAGAGCAGTTTGTACAGGTGTTTAATGTCACCTGTGACTCTAAGTTGTTTACAGTTGAGGGGCTTTACTTGCCTGATTAATCTCCCGTTCTCAACGTAGTACTGAGCTCTGAAGTGAATGATCATTGGAGGCCCAAACTGGTCGATGCCCTGGAAAAGAAACAAGTGGAGATCCTTGTTTACTTTCTAAAACAGGAAGAATTTAACATCTTCTCACTGTTGAACATCATCATTTCTCACCTTGCTGGCTTCTCTCTTCCATTCTTTGGGGCAGTATTTGGATAGTTTCTGATCCAGCTCCATATAGATGTGCTCATTATCTGTCAGAGGAGGAGAGGAACACGTTAGCTACTGAAACTCATACTGCGTGTCATCCACGTGCGTGTACGTGTGGATGTATAGGTGCCTTCATATGTATGCAGCACAGAGAGAAATCCCCCCCCTGAATGCGCCCTGTTCAAAGCCTCAAGCCTCAGAGCCGTCACATGAGACAGCCTCCGTCTGCACTTCCCTTTGTACTCAGACTCTCTGGTGCTCCTTCTCATTTCTTCATCTCACTCTGTCATGCATTAATCTGCTCCTGAAGTGACGCCTTTCATGAGCTGCGGGCCTGCTGATGTGACAACTCGAGAGTTTCTATACAATGAAAACCCGTTGAAAAGCGAAAGAAAATGAGGAGCAGGAGCCCGCTGGCTGAACAAATCACATTTGTAAACAACAATGAAGACTTTCACTATGACTATGACACATAACTATGATGTCCTGAATATTCTGATTTGTATGAACGGCTTGTTTTTGTTTGTTCAGTTAAAAACAAAAAGCAGCGTGATTTCTCTTCCCATGAAGATAGTTTTGGTTTTATTTGGCAGCAATCTGAGATCTCCACCACAGAGACGTCTGACGCCATCCCGATACAATAGAGGCCAATGGTATTTGGTTTGTGGTGCTTCAGGAATCCAAATATGACACTTGAAAAAACTTAACAGCAATGTGTGTTTCCAGAAAAAAAAAACATGGTTGCTGCTTATCCATTGACTTCACTGTGGGACGTTTTTATTAACCCTTTCACACAGCCTGTTAAAGGAGGGACTGTTGCACCATTTTTTCACCTCGCCATTCTGTCAAACAGTACAGACAGAGTTGTGGCGGCAGAGTTGTTCCGCCATTAAGCTGGCAGTGGAGGTAGTAACAGTGCCAAATTGACATCTGTATAAAAGGTACAAACAACATGGCGGAACCACACACATACACACTCTGGTAGACGTTTTTTGTGGTGTTTAAATAGAATATGTCACTTTACAAAGACGGAAACAGAAATTCTGACAGATTGCATGAAGAATAAAAAGTACCTACTTAATTATATAGTTGCTATGAAATGTGGAGGGATGTCATGAGATGTTTGGATGAAAAGTAGACAGAGCAACAAAAGTGAAGCATCCCACACTGCTTTAAGGCTGCAACTAACCATTATTCTCATTAACGGATGATCTGCCGATTATTACCCTCATGAATCAATTCATCGTTTGGTCTGTAGAAGCCAAAAAACAGTGAGACCAAGATGACGCCTTCTTGCTTGTTTGGGGTCAAAAAATACTTTGAACATTCACATTTAAGAGGCTAGAACCTGTGTTACTTTAACGATCAATTGGTTTTCAAAATAGTTGCATTAATTTTCCATTGACCGACTAATCGACGGATGTTTTCAGCTCCACACAGCTTCCGCTAGCCATTTAGCCACAGTTTCCGCTAAACGGTTACAGAAAAGTACACCTTCTGCCCTCATCAACGCTGGATATATTGGTTTTTTTCATGCGAGTTAAATCCTCCAAACATCAAGCAAACAAAGACGTGTTTGAACCCGTGTCTGGTGGCCCTGGCTGTGGACACTCCGGTCGAGGGGACAGTGGGTGACACACAGGGACTCGGTGGCCTCTGTTTGCCTTGGGGATTTCACGCTGTTCAGACAAGCACTTCAGGAATGTCCCACAATCAGACCCATTGGCTCCTGCTCAACTGACCTGCTGGGCCATCGTTGGCTCATCTGGGGGCCAGCTGTCTGAAAACACTGCCTGTGCAATCTACTCTCCCTTTGCAGCTGCCTACGACTGTCAGCCGCTGTCTGCCTCGCCATACTGCCGACGCAGTGACTCATTCTATGCGTACGACCCTCACCGCGCCGTCACCATAAAAACAACGCTAGCCTCGCTGCACAATGGGAGCCAGTCATGACGAGGAGGCCCCGGCTCCTGGGAGACCGCCATGACATGTAGGTGAGAGATGCTACATTTAGGGTGGGTTCCTGTTTCTCAGCCAAGTTATTGGTCTGAGGAAAAGCAACCGCCTAGTTACAGTGTTTTTATGAGGCTCTCTCACTCCACAATTTGAATGACTCAACTGAAATGTTCAGTCTCCACTTGATTATACATAATAATAAGAAATAAACGTGAATTTAATTCATATTGCACACGCTTGATGGAAATGTGAAGCGGCAGAAAATAAAAGCCGTTCCGTTCAGTTGAGAGGTAAACAAGTTAAATTATAGATACACTGTGTGCGTCATATCACAAAAACAACATACGGAACTGCACAAAGAGATTTGTTTGTTTCCCCCTAAATTAATCCCTGAAATGAGAAGTCTCACTCTGAATAACACTGAGTCCAAACAGGTGACAGTCCTTCAGCCTCAGGAGGTCACACACCTGGACCAACAGTTCCTGGCACAAGGTCTTCACCTGGGGAGGAGAGAAGAGGAGGAGGATCGTCTGTTAGCCATTATATTAATCACACAAACATAAATAGTCACACATAAGCTACCCCACTGCTAATGTCTGGTATGAATCTCATGTTGTTATAAACCACAAAACGTAGTTCAATTAATGTAGGGAGCAGCCAGCGATGAAAAAATGAAATATGGAGCACTTATTATAGAATGAAAATAAATTCCTATGGTTTCCACAAAGAAGGGTTTCATAAGTAGCAGCTGACAGCTGCCAAGAAACACCGACCACAATTTATTATGAAAGGAAAAACCTCTCAATGCTTAGCTTAGCTTAGCATAAAGACTGGAACTGGGGTTGGCTCTGTCCAAAGGTTATACCAGGCACTTCTAAAGCTCACTAATTAACATACTGTATCTTATTTGAATAAATCATACAAGAAAATAATTTTAAGAATGACACGTTGTGGTTTTATGGTGGGGGGGTTACGTGCTGTGGTTATGTGACAGCAAATAAAAAAAGCAAATAAGTGCATTTAAAAACTATTTCTTTAACTTGTTCAATCTGAGAAGACATGGGGAAGTGCTTCTTTTTTCATATCTTAAAGTTGAACTGAGCAGCAGTGCTATGAATATGGTTAACATTTGCACTCACATTGACTATGATATTGAGGGTGTCATCATTGGGCAAAAAGACACAGACACAGCGGCGGTCCTGCATGGTTTTGTTGTTATGGAAGTTCAGTCTGTTCATCTTCGTGTGGCTCGGACAGGACAGGCCCCTCCGCCTGCTACCGGGGCTCTGGGCCCTCTGATGACGACCACCACCAGTCACTGTATCCCTGCTTCAGCTGCAGCCTAGTACAGACACACCAGCACCTATGGGCTCAGCAGGCCGAGCAGCACTCACAGGGCAGAGCATGGGGACCCGAGCTGCAGTCAGCCACTGTGGAGACACGTAGGAGAAGATTAAGCATATGAAGATGTTGACATTAAAATGATAAATTAGTTTGACGATCTAAATTATCATTTAAAAACAGCAAATCTGCAGAAGAATATGTTCTCACTAAAAGAGTCTGACAGGATCGGGGAAACAAAAGAAAGGCAGCATTCCTGTTTGTGTTCATGAATATGATTTCAGGGGAATGTCGGCGACTCCTGAATGAACATCTGTCTGGAGGAGAACTGATGAAATGCAACGATGGCATGAAGAAAACACAGAGTGACTCATAACCACTTTCTCTTAAAATACTTTCAACTTTAACTTTAGGGGACTTGAACAAACCAGAAATACAACAATGCAGTAAACAAATCTATGTAAACCAAGCTTGACTTTAACAGCTGTTGAGAGACTTGTGCACAGGGGTTTAGATGTCGACTGGGTGTGACTTTGTTGGCTCTGTAAAACAAACGGCTCCTCATATTCCTCCTGGCTTCGGTTTTAGTCAGCGCGTTCAGTTCTGTTGACATGCTTTCGGCTGTTTGATTTGAATTCTTCACTGTCTGCAGGGAGGAGTCAGACTGTGGCTTTGAGTTTGGGAAATGCAAGTATTTAAAATGTCCCTATACTAAATTGATCCTCTCTTTTGCGGTGGTATTGTTTTGAAAGCAATGCTCACTTTTTTTTTCACGAGATAGAATCTGTTATTGTCAAAGCAGTGTTACTGGAATGTGAAAGAATATCTGCAAACTGAATTTTCGTGTTTAGAAATTTAGACTTTATCCCGTCAGGTTAAATGACATGCCAGCAATGTGTTCCCATTGTTTTCTACCTCTCCCTCTCTCACACACACACACACACACACACACACACACACTAGAGAGAGAATACACACACACCTCAAACATTACCAGTTGTCCTGTGAGCAGCAGAAAGCTCACAGCATGAACTGAGCCTGAGGACGTGTGAGTCCTTCAGAGGGCGTGAGAAGTCTCAGACCAGAAAAGAGAATGTAAAGGAACAATCAATCTAGATTATCACTTCTTCCTGTTGAAAGTCACTCACCTTGCAGCCACGTTGTCATTACAAACAGATAGGACGGACCACATTACAGAGTGAGAAACCATTTGCATTTCAAAAGATGACATTAGAGAGTTAACGGTTTATTCACGACACAGAAAAGTTGAGGAGTTCAAGTCAGTTTTTGTAAACCGCTTCAGCCACATGCAACTACTAAAATTCTGGTTTCGCTGCAGTCAGGCCTCCTCCAGCTATTAGAATAGAGGGTTCAAGTCAAACATTGTTTGTTCTGCCTTTACGAACTAGGAGAATAATTATAAAAGTGAAAGACCAGCTTTAAAATCAGTAAATTGTTACTTTAACAAAGCATGCAGCAGTGGAAACATCACCAGAATTACTGACCGCGGTGATACCGATAAATAACAGCTTTAACTGTGGGCTCGGACCTCTGCTGCAAAGTCACAAAGTGCTTTTCGGAGTAAGTACCCATTCACTGCGCCTGCTGTCGACATATAACACTGCTTTGTTGCAGCAGAGACAGGGAGCATTGTGGGCCTAAATACACATGCTGTTGACGTACAGCATCGGTTCTCATTAACGCTGCTCATTGGATGTGCAGTGTGGCCGACAACGAGCCACTCAGCAAAGTCTGCTGATGAGCCACGACGGCTCGCTCCTCTGCGGCTGACCTTGATTAAAACACATCACTACTGCACTGTGAGCACACGGACAGACAAACATGCACACATATGTGGGCCAAAATACAACACACGCTCTCTAGCTACGACCATATGTCAGGTGCTCCTTCAAAACAGCTGTGTGACGGCAGCGGGGGTTAATTAGAAGGGAGATCCATCTAATTGGATCACTTCTCTACATCACTTACAGAGAGATATAGTATTTGCAGAAAATACCTAGTTTTTTAATTGTATTGATGGTGTCCGGCAAAGAAAAACAATAAAAAATATTGGAAGAATGAATGTCCCGACTAAAGCTGGATTTAGACTTGATGCAACGGGTAAACTGCCATCCCACCATGGATACTCAAGGTGTATAAGTTATTTTATTTACAGCATAGTTAAGCGTTGGGTTTGGAAATCAGTGTACAAGGTGGAAACATTCACACATCCAGTTTGATCTCCCTGGAGAAGAGTTAATGGCCCTTGAAGTGGGCTCAGCTGAAGTCATATCATATTGCATTTTCAGCCAGAAATATGATTCCACGACTTCCACGCACACATCCCACTTACGACTCGCTTATTACATTGTTGACTGCTGACGGTGAAAGCGGACGCCCATGTTGCTCTGAGGTAACTCAGACATAAACGAGTAGTGTCATTATTGATGGTGTTTCAAGGTTGATTGTGTCATGTCTGGTCTGAACATGAGACATCACCACAGAGTGTATGTCCACTGTGAAATTAAAGGGTGGATTCTCTTACACACTGCGAGGGAAGAGAGTGCTGGATAATGAAATTACTGCTGCTGTCCACCCCCCATTTCGCTGTCGTGCAAAGTGTGATGCAACATCAAAGTCCATCTAAAGCAGCACACGCACGAAGAGCAGCCGACTGAGCTTCCTCCGGCCTTTTTAAACAGAGATTCTGTCAACGTGGCAAACCTCAGAGCCACCAAATCCCACACTGGGATACAGAGAAAGGGCCTCTGTCACAACTGCACCTCTCTCTTTCTCATTCTTTCCCTCCTCCATTGGCATCAGAGGGGTAGAGAGAGTCTCTGCGTCCAACTGTTGGACGGTGGAGCCCAAAAAAATAAATAAAAACGTCCTGTGCTTGGAGATGTAAAAGGAACTGAAGGCAGCTGTCACCACGCTGATTTAAGAATAGCTTCAGGTACAGCCAGTGAGAAAGCTAAGAAAGGAAAAGAAAAGAGTAGAGGGTGGATGTATACAGCGGGGAGAGAAAGCAGGGGCAAGGGCGATGGAGAGAGGCAGCGCTCGAAGGCTTAGGGCACGAAAAAAGAAAAGAAAAAACTGCTGCAGTCAGGAGAATTCCTCACTAACATCTGCTTCTCATTCCAACAATGGCGGCCTTTGATTCCTGATGCACACAACGAGCAGCACCGCCGCCATCTCCATGCGCCCACAAACTGCATCCTCCGACAGCGTCCTAAAAACCTGGAACAGCACACGTGCACTGTGATCCCCGATCTGGTGCTGAACAGGGTTTGTGCACGAGTCAGTCGTGCACAACTGGATTTGTTTGGCTTCACCTGCTTTGAGAACTACATGGACCAGCAAGAGAGATTATCAGTCGATTAACAGTAGAATAATCAGTAACTATTCCGATGACAGATTAGTTCAAGCTTCTCGATTGTTAGTCTTCGTCGTACAGCGACTAATTAATAATGAAAACTATCGTTAGATGCAGCACTACTTCGGATCAGCTGTTGAATGAATCTGTTAATAAAGTCAAAATGTCAAACATTTGCTGATTCCAGCTTCTCAAGTGTGAGGATTTGCTGCTTTTTTTAACCAGAGTTTTGGGGGTTTTACCCTAAAACCTGAAACAAACCTTTTTACTTTGACTCTGGGAAACTGTGCTGCTCATTTATTTTTATTTTTTTGATATTTTCAGACAAATCTATTAATTGATTAATTAAGTAAATGATCAGCTCATTAAGTGACAGCGAAAATAATCGTTGAGACAGACTGAACTACAACCTAACCAAACAATACTTATATTTAGATCTTTTAAAGAACACTAAAAACTGTTTGGCTGCGTATGATACCTGATGCCAGCCAATGGAAACTAATATATCTCCCAAACCTGTAAGCATTCAACACTTCCCGCTGACGGATGAAAAGAATACAAAAAAATACAAAAAAGTTATGGTACCGACTGAGCTAAAAAAAAGACTTTACAATGGGCCGGGTGTATTCAGCAAATAGACAAAGCAAATCCTAATTTCATGCACACAATCATATGGGAGGAAGCCTGTTCCATGGGCACACAAACTGCCCTGGTGAAATATTTAAAGGGCACCGTTTCAAAGGGCACGACTTTTTATAAATAGTGCCAACCACTGGAACCGAATGGGAATTTCTGCGCCCTCGGTCCGCTGCCAAGAGATCCGTTCATTCAGCTGATGAGAAATGTTGCTGAGCTGACGAGTGGCTCTTAAATCACATTGGTCACAAGATGGAATTAGCCTCCTCTGGTTAACCTACTGATACACTAAAAGGAGGAGCGGAGTGTTAAAAAAATAAACAGGAAAAGGCACGAGTGTGGGGCGACATGCTTGACCACCCAAACCGATAACTTCTGGATCGTCTAAACATCTATTTTGGACTCTGGCTGGCTCTTCATGCTGTCTGGAAGTGGCTGTCGTTACCGGAAACGTGCTCATATGTGTGTTACACTCTGCAAATACAGATGGACAGATGGTGTAAACAAATAACTGTGACTTGCTGATATTAATAGAGCCTGGAGGCATGTTTAGCTGCTCCCCCATAAATACCTGGATGCTCTGTGTGTGTCTTTTTTAGCCTTTAAGCCTAATGTGAGAGGCAGAGGGAAAACATACTGCACTATTTAGGACCTTGATTCCCATGATCCCGTACCCATAAGATCATCTAACAGATATTTATCTATTTCCACTGAGCTAACAGGGAGGACAAACAATCTGTTTCTGGCCCAGAGCCAAACTAAAAGTCTGAGAACCTCGACCAGATTTTAACGATTTATCTCAACTTGATGAACTGTAGAATCTGAATTATGGTAATTACCCTCAACACAGATCCAGTAAAAAAATAATATACTCTTTCACGCTAAGTATAATCTAGATGTTGGCTCATACAAATCCAACATCTGAAGAGTAAATGCCTGCATGTCCTCCTTCATCAAATGTCACGCTCATTAACCCCTGAAGGTCAGGCCTGCACACAGCATGGCTCTGTAATGGTGTTACGCAATTCACAGAGGAAAGTCGAAGAATTGTATGGTGGGTGGCCTCAGGCCGAACCACAACTCGCATAGTAAATGTACATTTTTGGGGCGACGCGTGGCTCACTGGCTTAAGAGGGTTGTCTGGTAACCGCAGGGTCAACGGTTCGATCCTCGACTGGGGCGTGCCACGTGTCGAAGTGTCCCTGAGCAAGACACTGAACCCCCGGCTCCCCGGGCGCCTGTCATTGGCAACCACTGCTCCCTATATACAGGGATGGGTCAAATGCAGAGGTCAAATTTCGTGTATGTGTATGTGTATATGTATATTCATCATCTGGGTTCTCTGGAGAGGTGATCTCACTGGAAACGAGTTCTAAAGACTCCTCACATCTTTCAATCATCCTTCGACCAGGAATTACTCCGGAATGAGAAGCTGCGGCACCCTGTGCTTGATGAATTGTTCTCCTTCTCGATGGAGATATAATTATGAAAGTGACAGCGAAAGACTAACTCAATGACCTTCCATAAGCCAACACACCAGCTTCTCTGCCAACCGCCCGAGATGAGCCGTTTGTTTAAGACTCGTGGCACCAGCCATCAGTGGAGAGAGAAGACACTGCTCGTTCTTGGCAGATGTTCAAATGAAGGGTGCCTCATAATCTAAGTGGTGGCCTGTTGGCTGGAATTGAGATTTGTGAATCGCATAAAATAAGATAAGAATCGACTTTTTCCTCACGCCCTTCTTTAACATAATCCCATCCTTTATTATGTAAGGAAGGATCAGGGGAAAAATGTTACAAATATGTATCAGAGAGCTCGAGCAGCAAAGTTCAAAACTCAGTGAAGAACAACGTAAGCTTTGGTACCTATGGAATAAATTATTTCAACATTCATAACATCTGGCTTCCATGTGGACTGAGCATGCATACACACACACACACACACACACACACACATCTCAAACCACCGGCACTGCCAGACATGTTAGAACAGAGTCAGCAGTCGCTCCCTTCCCTGCCCAGCATTCAAGCTTGGACTGAGCATGAGTAACTGCACAAAACTAGCAATCGCAGTGCAACACGCCACGGACACGTCAAGCCGACCATTAAGTATGCTGGAAAAAGAGCGAGCAGCCTTTAAAGGAGAGGGTTAAACAATGAGCTGCAATTATAGCAAACCCCAACCAAACCCTGTTGTTTTGTGTCGTCCGCTTTGACAGAACAAAAAGGATTGTTGCAGGTGATTTGATGCGTTTACAGTGTGTAGCTTTTGCAACAGGATTGTCGGCTACCGTTTACAGTTCTGTCAAACCTGAGGAGTCACAAGACTGAAACGTGGTATTTCTTTTTTCCCAGGAATTACTAGGTATTGTGCTACCATTTACTTTAGTCACAGCCTGAAAATGACCTCAAAGGAGAGACAAAGTAAAGATAATGCAAGTCCATAATTTGGCCGGATTGTTCAACTAAAAAGACTTACAGTTGGACTAACAGCTGTGATACTACGGTATGAATATACTGCAAGGAGGCGGAGCTATTCCTAAACTCTGGTATCTGGTGTTACTGACCCAGGACTGATCCTGGGTGTCAGTAATACGCCTACCTGCGACCAATCCAACCAAAATCAACAAAATATCCCACAGGAAGCACCGATAGCTGAAGTAAGAAGCGCAAGATTAGCCCATCATTTCCTTAGGGGGAAGCTGGCAGGTTAAATCTCTTTGGTCCGCTTCCTTGAAAGGAGTCAAGCTTCACTAAGAAGGCCAAGTTAGCAGAGGGGGGGGAAACAAATACAATCCCAGGAAAAGGGAGAAAGGGAGACAAATGCAGGAAGAGCTGACCCATTTTCTTTCTTCTGTCCCCTTTGGTGCACTTGAGACATGGATGTGAGGAGTCATGCAACATCCCTGCAGAAAGAGGCATGCAGCAATGATGTTGTGCAGTCCACTCATAAAAACACACGGTTAATCTCTAAATACCACATGGCCGCCTCTCTGGAAATGTGCATGTTTTTCCTCAACTATTTAGAAGCCGACTTTCCTGAGAAACAAGGTTTGCATCCAAACGCAGCTATGAGGACTAGATAGTGTGGAGTGATACGAGTGGAGAGCCCAGGGCACCTGTATACCTTACACTAAGAGTGTGTGTACACACCCACATACTGTAGACACAGTGGAGATAACACGTGCAATCGGACGGTAGGAGATAGAGTTTCTCCTTCTTTATGGCAATAACAGTAATCTCATCCATCACCATTCCTCTGAGACATTGTCCCGCTACTCTTAATCTGTTTCCTCTTACACGTTATCTTCTGGCAGCATGGCAGATTGAGCGATAAATTCAGGAGAGAGCATTTTATAAACAAGATCTGAAACGATGTGAAAATCCGCTCCTAGCGTGTCGTGGAGACTATTATGTAGAAGGAATATAACGGGTTATCTCCAGTCGTAAAGCACCACAGATGCTTTCCCCTTCAGCTCAGGTACCGTGTCGAACTGTTTTTGTATTCACGGCGTAGTTCTTCCAGCATCAGAGAAAGCCAGCCCCCGGGCTAGGGATTCAGTTGAGCTTTTGATGCAGAGTCTAATAGAGGAAGTCTGATAAATTCAGAAGAGCAACAGATCCAGCACTCACTGAAACGTGGACGTAACAAGTAATCATGTCATGTGGGGTTTCAAGAGTGAAAGTACAATTAAATGAAGGTTCAAAATGCAAGAACAAGACACCAAAACACAGTCCTTACTCACATTAAGTTTTACGTGGGACGGGGACGGGGGGGGGGGGTTGCATTGTGCAATTATGGGCTACCCCATCGGGCATTCCAACACAGATGCATCGGAATGAGTCACCGACCTACCAACCATCTTTGTTCACACGTTTCCTTTTTGTTTCCTGTCCAGACAACACCTGCACCATCTCCCTCTCTCTCCCATTCCCTTTGTTTCAACACAGAGCCAAGACAGCGTCGCAATCTCTAAGACACAAGTTGTTTTTCTTCCATCTTTTCCCGCACAGCTGGAGCAGAGACCCGGCTGACATCTCACACACTGTATGCTGCGGGAATGAGCCACACAAGGTAGCTGATTAGCCTACCATGTGTACTGGATGAGCTTCAAGTGTGAGCAATCCATACAGGGGGATCCCTCGACTGATCGGGTTGGACAATTCTTTTGATTTCATTTGTAAATAGCAAAAAACATCATTGGCAACATCTATGTAGTGTCCAACTCTTATTATATTACTATATTATATTATTAACCTCTTTAGGGCATATGAGTGACATGGTAATTAAAACAAGAATCCACGGGACACAAGTCAAGACAGCAAAGCATCCTCTCTGTTGAAGTGCCCTTGAGCAAGACACAGCGTCTCCTATAGCCCCAAGGAGTGCTTAACACCTGCCCTTTGACATCTCTGGAGAGAGAATACATTTCCATGAGAGTAAAAGTATTGTGATAATG